TTTATTTTTTTTAATGGACTTTTGTTCTTGTTGCCCAGGCTGGAGCGCAATGGTGTAATCTTGGCTCACTGCAACCTCTGCTTCCCAGGTTCAAGAGATTCTCCTGCCTCAGCTTCCTAAGTAGCTGGAATTACAGGCATCCACCACCATGCCAAACTAATTTTTTTGTATTTTTAGTAGAGACAGGGTTTCACCATGTTGGCCAGGCTGGCCTCGAACTCCTGACCTCAGGTGATACGCCTGCCTCAGCCTCCCTGAGTGCTGGGATTACAGGCGTGAGCCACTGCACCTGGCCAATTTTAACTTTAAATACAGTAAATATTATATGACACACTAATATAATATTTACTTCTCAAAAAAGCAAAACATATCCCTTATGTTGAAGGAAATATTATGACACACTAATATAATATTTACTGTATTAAAAATTAAAATTAGTGTGTATAATACACTACTTATGCACATAAACAAATGCTTTTTAGTTTATTCAATAATTATTAAGGGTGAAAATGGATCTGAGACCAAAAGTTTTGAACTACTGGTTTTGAATTTATTGCAAATCTCTTTGGAAAAAGATTTTGTGCATGTTATTTTTAAAACAAACTCATGTCATATGCATCATATACATCTGCAGCTTTGATAAAATGAATGAGTCAGTCAAAATAAAAACCACATATTGATTTTGAGGGCAATAACTTATTTTCCTAAGTGCACCGTAATAGAGACAAAAGGGCAGTAGTATCTAGTAACACCTCCCCCTATGTAGAATTCAGCTATCTAGCAACTTACCTAACGGCTTCTGACCACCCAAATCAAAGGGCATTTGAAGAGCTAAATGCATTTATCTCAAGCTCCTACTTCCATGCACTAAGAGTTTCTGTGTTTTCCTCCTGGAAGAAGGCCCTACCTCCTCAATAAGCCCAGGGGCTGGGACTTGGGAAAGGTAAGCAGGGTGTCTGAGGAGCAAAATTTAAGGAGGCACTCGCTTAAGGTGCTGACCCTGCATTTTCATGAGCCAGAAAGTGAGTGCCTTCTTAAATGTTGTGCCTTAGATGGTGCTAAACCCTACTCAGCCAGATGAACTACCTGGAATGGAGTATATAAAAAAGACAAAGGGGAGTGAGGGGAACAACTTCATATGCTGACTGACAAGAGTACTAAAGAAGACAGCACACTTCTAGTGAGGGATAAAGTAGGAAAGCTATGAAAAATTGGGCAGAAATTCAAAATACAAATCAATATGAACCCATTTAACAAAAAAGCAAACAATTTGGGCTCTCAGGGTGTCACATGCTACTAATAACTGATATCTATAATTTAAGACAAATTATATCCACTGTTATTTTTTAAAGCAGGGAGTAATGTATTACATTTTAAGAATGTTTCTATTCAAACTGGTTGAAAAAAATAAGGTTCTGAGGTTATATAACAAAATTAACCTTTAGCTGTGCAGAGAATCCAGCTCTTCAGAATGATTCAATCAATTTAATCTGTATTTATTTACTGTGGTCAAAAGTTGCCGAAGACTATACTATACTCTAAGGTTCTGAATAGATGAAGTCTAATTGTACGTTGGTTATGTAAATTTTCAATGACTCATTGGTTCAACTTTTGGAATTTCCCTGAATCTACGGGGTTTTTTTTTCCCTCCCCTAGTCAATTCATTCTTTTGTCCTTCTAATTACGCAGGTTTCAACTCAGGATGTCATTTCACACAGGAAGAAGATTAAAATATGGTCCTTACTACATAGCAACAAAGAGCTTCTCATTGATAACATGGGGCTGGGGGAAAATTGCTAAGATGTGAGGACTTGACTTCCTCATTACTCATCATGTTTTAACGAATCACGTGGGGTTGGAATGGCATAGATGAGGGTATGTTTTGCAGGGGAAGCTTTATTCAAATTGAAGGAGTTTAAAATTTTAGGATAGGTCAAAAGGAAATTATTGCAAAAGTGATCTGAACTGTTAACAATTTCCTACTTTACGGTGCCTTTTCTGGGGATCTTGCATCACTTATTTTGAGACAGAGTCTTGCTCTGTTACTCAAGCAGGAGTGCAGTGGCATGATCATGGCTCACTGGAGCCTTGATCTTCTGGGCTCAAGCGATCCTCCTGCCTCAGCCTCCCAAGTAGCTGGGACTACAGGTGTGCACCACCACACCCGGATAATTTTTGTATTTTTTGTAGAGACAAGGTTTCACCATGTTGCTCAGGCTTGCCTCGAACTCCTGGCTCAAGGAAGTCTCTGGCCTTGGCCTCCCAAAGTGCTGGGATTACAGGCATGAGCCACTGTACCTGACCATGTATCACTTATTTATGTGGCTATCAGGTTATAGGATAAATCTCTTAAAGGCTTTGCTCCAAGCCTCATGCCTCACATTGGGTGACTTTTTTTTTTTTTTTTTTGAGACAGAGTCGTGCTGTGTCACCTAGATTGGAGTGCAGTGGCATGATCTCAGCTCACTGCAACCTCCACCTCCCGGGTTCAAGCAGTTCTCCTGCCTCAGCCTCCCAAGTAGCTGGGACTACAGGCACCTGCCACCATGCCTGGCTAATTTTTTGTATTTTAGTAGAGACAGGGTTTCGCTGTGTTGCCCAGGCTGGTCTTGAACTCCAGAGCTCAGGGAATCTGCCCGCCTCTGCCTCCCAAAGCGCTAGGATCAAAGGCATGAGCCACCGCGCCGAGCCTGGGTGACTTTTTAAAAATAGAAGAAGAGTCCTGATGCCAGGTGGGGCCATAAAAATAAAATTCCACTGCAGTAAACACAGTGGCACTCAATCAGTCACCCACCACATTCATATGTGGTCATGGAGAGTTCTTTATGTAGTTATCTCAGGAAAATCGCGGGCTGAGGAAGACCCTACCCACCAAAGAGCACCCCTGATAGGGAGAGAAATCTTAATGTCCCACAGATTTAAGCCTTATAACTCTTGGTGACAGATAACAGTTATTGTTAACTGTGTAAGGCAACTCTTTAAGTGGGAGAGGCCATGCCCCCGCAATGGAACAGTGAAGAAACAACCCAACTGTTATCACCTTATGCTGACAACTAGAGACCCCCAAACTGGACATGGCTCATTTCGGTAAGAACACAACAGACGTCATGGAGTACAGACCTTATATTTGATCTGAGCTTCTATGGGTGAAAGTGAAGATGTTTCACTACAAGTAAAAGAAGGAAATATGGTAGTAGCAATGATGGTTCTGACTATCATAGCAGCTTTCTTGGCATGTATTATAAATATTACACTAGGTGAGGAGGTGAGCAGTGGTTGTTACATCCCTTCTATTGAGGGAAATGTCATCAAAGTTTAAATGAAATATGAGGCATTTAATACCTTATGCCAGACAAGATTTCTGAGTTTACTGCTTTAGGAGGAAAATGCTTGAGATCTTTCCATATGTTAGGCCCTGTTCTAAGCATGTTACCTGTCCAGGCGTGGTGGCTCATGCCTATAATCCCAGCACTTTGGGAGGCCGAGGCAGGCAGATCACTGGAGGTCAGGAGTTTGAGACCAGCCTGGCCAACATGGTGAAACCCTATCTCTACCAAAAAAAAAAAAAAAAAAAAAAAAGAAAAAAAAAACACAAAAATTAGCCAGGTGTGGTGGCAGGCACCTGTAACTCAGCTACTCAGGAGGCTGAGGTAGGAGAATTGCTTGAACCCAGGAGGCAGAGGTTGCAGTGAGCTGAGATCACAACACTGCATTCTGGCCTGGGCGACAGAGTGAGACTCTGACTCAAATAAAAAATAAGATAAAATAAGCCCTTTACCTGATTTATTTCAGTTAATTCTTACTGAGATCCAGTGAGTTGATACCGTTTTATTTACATACAAAGGAGAAAATAGAGGCATACAAAGTATAAGTAATTCAGTTTATGGTGCAGCTGGAATTTGAGCTGTCTAGAATGTTCTATGAATAGTATAATTTGTTTATCTCACCATGTTTAATAATGAGTATAATTTAAGATGCATAAAGAAAAAGCCAAAATACCTACTACCTGCATAACAATTCTAAAGGCATCTAACTCTAAACATGACAAAATGTAGAATTGCATAAGTGGACGAATTTTTAGTCATAAGCAGAGCATTCTCTTCTAACATTCATGAAAATTTTTGGAAGGCAAATTCTATTACCGGTTGCAAGCAAAGTAATTTATAAAGAGTATTATACTGTAATTGAGTAATTTATAAAGAGATCTGAAATTATTTAGAGAAAGATTTGGACAATTTTAGAAAAGAATGATATTTAGACAAAATAGCTAAATACACATCAAAAAATGAATAGAGCAAGATCATAAGATCTAACATCTGACATATTGTTAACGTAATTTTAGATGCTGCCCTGATGTGCCAAATTGGCCTAAAAAGAATTCCTAAGGGAGTATAAAAGGGCAAGTCTTATCAAAGTGGATTTAGACTTGAAAGGCATAATGAAAGTCAGATTACAGATAGCTTCTTGTGAACTCATTTTAGAAAGAGAAATAAGTGTGAGATTGAATGATCCTGGTCCTTGCCTCTGCCAAATCAATCAATTCACACCCCAATCTGATGGGACCTAAAAGTTTATTCTGGAACTGTACATTAAAGCCTATAATACTCTGTCCCATGAATGGGAACATCCTGAAATTTGGCCTGTGGTCTACCTTTGGGCTGTCTAAAACAAATGTACTCTTTGTAAATTAAAACTTAGCCTATCCACACAGAATAGAATTATGACAAAACAGTATCATCATTTTGATTTTGGGGGACGTCTTTGTAAAAAGCTGCAGAGACAGAAGCCCCCTTCTTATCTGGTTATGACATAATTTGCATACATGTAGGAAACTAGGTGACAGAGTCTTTTCTTCTTTTTCACAGTTTCATTTTCCTTAATTGCTATGCTCTCAAATATTAGGAAACCCCTTTTGAATAAACAATAGCTACTGCATGATTAACCTAACTCAGAACACTGTAATTCAGCTACTACTTTTCTGTGTATTTATTGAGTTTCCCCAGGATGCAGTACTCTGAACAAACCAGGGATTCCAGAAAAGACATCTGTTTCCATCAAGCACTAACATGGAATAAGAACAAAGAGGACGTGGCCTCATGCTCTCAGGTACACACATGAAATTGAAATTTCCGTACTTATTTTTGATTGCTAGAACTTTAATCCTGTTCTTTGTCATCTAACACACTTAAGTATGTCAGAGATGAAGTTTAGAATTACCCCAGAAGATATTGGCTACCAAGAGTATTTTGTGTCTCTTAATATAGTTTTCATAGACTAATTCAGGAGCAGTGAAGATTAAAATAGTCATTATTAATTATAATAAAAATTTTTCTATGTGTCCGTAAACATCCTAAAAAGAATTTTTAAATAAAACAATTGCAATAATTGTAAACAAAAGTAACAAAAAAGCTTCCTTGGGCTGGAAAAACAATAGTGATAATTTCATGGCAATCTCCTCTCATGACCACATAAAATTTATTTGTTTACAAAAGTATTGCAAAAACATCATTTTGTATTTATTCAAGTTTTTAAAGAGACCATTTATTTATTTGCTTTTATGTCCAAGCATTTTTTAAAAGCAACTTCAGCCTGGGTAATTGACTTCAACATTCATATTTGATTCAGGGATACTTTGAAATTTCTGTAAATAATTGTGTGTGTATACAGAGCCTCAAAAAAGAGTTTCAAGGCTGTGTCTCATGGCTAAAATAAAGTGAGTCGTTGAGAGCATAAAGGATTGTAAGTGCTTCATGTTTTCCACTCTCCTGGGTTCCCAGACCAGCTTGTGAGCCTAACTTCCACCTTTATCATTCCACAAACTCCCTGACCCCTGACCTCACTGTTTGAAAGGCCTGGGAACAAGAGGGAATTTCTTTAGATTTGCTGGGTGAGAAGTAAGGATACAACTTGTTTTTCCAAAGTCTTTTTAAAGCGTTATATTTAGGGCGCTTCAGAGGAAAGAATTGGCCAGTCCTTTATTTATCTTCCTAACAGGTGCAGTCGGAGCAGTCATAAAAGCAGGCTACTGAAAAAGAAGGATTCTGCCAAGTATTAAGCCCCTCTAGCATGCATTTGCCCTACAGTATTCCCTCTTAACAACACAGAGCTCAAATATATGCCATGAATCTTCAGCATAGCGTGACGGCTTTTTTCAGGAGAGAAAAATATGATGGCATTCATTCATATAGCTTCTTTATTTTCCATCCAAATCTTCAACTTGTCCTTGATGAACCAGTTGAAGTCAAAAGGGAAGCAATTGCCCTTGATAAAATATCTCCTTCCTCCTTCCGTATTCCTTTCTCTTACCTTTTCTGCATAAATTATTAACTTTTCTCCAATTTGAGGTAAGGGTGATATTTATATACAAGATGACTTTCCAAAGACAAATTTATTTTGGTGTTTTGAAATAGGCCATTCGCTCTCATGCAGGTAGAAACTGAAGGTCAAAGAATAAATATGAGAAGGAGGTTTCCCATCAAGGGAGCTCCTTTTCTGATGGATGACTAAGCCCTGACAAATGCTTAGAAATAGGCAAGAGGTGATGAACGCTGCTCTACATTCAGGTAGGTTTTGGGCTCAGCAGAACTTTAAATGTCATGAAATCTCTAGAGACCCAAGGAAAAAAAGATACAGAAATGTCAAAAACCCTTACGGACCACCGCCCCTCACCCCACAAAAAAAGCTGTTCTTTTTTTTTTTTTTTTTTTTTAGAACCATGATCCCATCTATTCCTACTAAAATGTAGACCAAGATAGCTAAGATGAATATTGTATGCTGATACAGCCAAAGAATATCTATAGCAACAAAGCCATGCCTTTGATTCCTGAAGTTATCAGAATGGCACCTTAAAATTATGGTCATAAAGGAACCTGTGTTTGGCCATATGTTTGAGTTTTCAAGAAGGGATCTTACATGGAAAATGAGAAAATGACTGTGACTCTCCTGAGATTTTTTTTGAGTGACACACAGGCACCAAAGAGGAACTTCTGCCTTTTTGGACAAGTAAAGTACATTAAATATGATAGTGTCTGATAAATCAGAAACAAATGTGAAATTCATGTTAAGACCTCAACTCAGTGTTTTAGAAGAGAATTTTTCTGGGTTTTATAGAATCTGACAGTAATAGGCCAGGCACAGTGGCTCACACCTGTAGTCTCAGCACTTTAGAAGGCAGAGACCAGTGGATCTTTTGAGCCCAGGAGTTCAAGACCAGCCTGGACGACATAGTGAGACCCCCATCTCTACTAAAAATATAAAAATTAGCTGGGCATAATGGCATGCATCTGAAGTCACAGCTACTGGGGAGGTTGAGGTGGGAGGATCGGTTGAGCCTGGAAGGCAGAGTTTGCAGTGAGCCATGATTGCACTACTGCACTCCAGCCTGGGTGACAAAAAAAAGAATCTGACAGTTAGCAGTTGTTCCAGGATGTAAAAGAACTAGGCTTTATGGTTTTAATCATTACATAATCCAGAGGTAAAATTCTGAGAAAAATTATATTTATGTGTTTAACAGCCATTCATGGTATTTTTTTAATGAACAGATATTCTGCCACAGAAGAAAGGCTATGGCAATTGTCTAGTTTTATGTCGATAAAACTTATTTTTGACTGGAAAAGTGAAATTTCCAGTGAAAGGTGATTTCTTGGCCAGGCACAGTGGCTCACGCCTATAATCCCAGTACTTTGGGAGGCCAAGGTGAGCAAATCACCTGAGGTCAGCAGTTTGAGACCAGCCTGGCCAACATGGCAAAACTCCGTATCTACTAAAAATATAAAAAGTAGCCAGGGAAGGTGGTGGGCACCTGTAATCCCAGCTACTCAGGAGGCTGAGGCAAAAGAATCACTTGAACCTGGGAGGCAGAGGTTGCAGTGAGTGGAGATTACGCCATTGTACTCCAGCCTGTGTCACAGAGTGAGATACTATCTTGAAAAAAAAAAAAAAAAAAAAAAGGTGATTTCTGATTTCTTTACACACTAGGAACGAGGGACAATTAACTGAAGGGCACTTACTTGTACTCAATTAATAACTGTTACAAAAATGAACGTATTAAAGGCATCCTGGGAGATCCCCACAAATCTGAAGCTTCCTACAACATCCTCCCAATTTTATCAGAATAACTTATGTGTGCTAGGCCTTAGGGTCTGCAAGAATCCAAAGTGGGATAAGGTAAGTTTTTTTTATCTGGAACTGACAGTACAAATAACATAGTTTCCAAAGAATGCATAATATATGAAAGTGGTTACTCCTTAAGAATAATACTTGCTTTCTCCAAAAGGGGTCACTGAGACACCCAGCATATTTCCAAGAGTCTAAACAAGAACTGTTGACTAATGACTTCCATTGAACTTCCTCCTCGAGATCCAAAGTTACATCTGTCCTTCCTCCTCCTCCTTAGAAGAACCAGCTTTCCCAAGATCCAAGAAGAAAACTCCTAAGATCCAAGAAGAAAATGATAGGTTGGGAGGTAATTGAGTGAGACATTTTTTGTACCTTTAGGTGCTGAAAACTCAGCCTCTTTTGAGGAGTCGCTAGATCCTCCTGGATCCTAGGAGGGCCAAACCAGCCCATGTGTCCTACCAAGATTCACAGCAAGTGGTCATGTCCTTCCTGGGCATGGCTTTCTAAGCTGTGGGAAGAGTTCAGAAGACCCATATGGGCTGGAGGAGCCTGTTCTTTGGGAGGGTTTCTGCAGAGTTTGAAATGACTCAGAAGCACTGGTTCAAGGCCATGTTTTGTTTTTCAGAGGGATGCTTCTATGCAATCAAACTAATCCCAGTGAAAATGAAATCACAGTTAGGAGAAGAAGAAAGGACCAGAATAGTTCATGACTTGCCCTACCCCTTACTCTTTTGATGTAAACAATATGAAAATGCAATTATTTCACTAAGGAAAGCTCTTCAAGGTACAGTTCCTTTAATAATCAGTTCTGCTGGTAAGGGAACCAAAAAAATCTCTGTACTTCCTCAGTGGATTTTAAATATATCAGTAACTCATTTTGCCCCACTCCCCATCATCCAAATTTAAACTAACCAAAGAATTTGTGGGTGTAAAATTACTGTCCTGGGTAGAGGCACTCCTGCACAGAATAGTAACGTGCTTTTATAGCAAAAGAAGATCACGGAGTCTTTAGTATCCTTGCTGATTTATTCAGGAAAAAAATATATATATATATGTATTGGGGGCTTGGGGGCCGAAGTTAAAGATGTATTTTACTCTTTGCAGTTCTACAATTTCATTCCTTGTAAAAGCACAGTGAATCAGACTCAGTTGTCAAATGAAAAGTAAACTTCATCGCCTCTAGCAATCAGAATAATTTAATTAGTTTTATTGGCTCTTAAGGCCTGTCACCTTATTTATTGGTTTTTCAGCTTTCTTCTCATTTTCAATTAGGCTTTAAAACAACAAATGCAAAATCATTCACTAAATTCAAGATAATTAAAACAATATTCTTTTTCCAGTTTGGAAACATGGTAGAATGCATTTCATCTGGGTACACTTCGGAGAGGTTAAAGTGTCAGAGCAGATAAAAAGGACACTTAATACACACGTAAATCATTTGCATTACAAATAAGATACTTCAGCAGGGGTTGGACTCTCTGCCTGACAGTCAGGATTAAGTTCCCATATTAATGCATGCGTTTGGTGTGGTTATTTTGAGTGGAAGACTTCATCCATCAATGCCCTCTGCCACTAAGTAAGGCCAACCTGTAAACTGATCACCACAGCCTGTCAACACTGGTTACTTAATTATATAAAGAAAATATATTTAAAAGACTTTTGATAATTTGGTTAGTATTTCAACTTTGCGTTCAACATGTAACATCTTTTTCAAGATTCCTCAAAATAATGGTTAAAGCATTTTTAAGAATTAAAAAATGAAAAGTATGACTATTTTTATGTTTCCTGCTTTCTTTTTCTTTTTATTTGCAGAAGGAAAAAACAAAGATTCAGTAAGCACTAATGAAGACTAATATAAATGAAATAATATTTTTAAAAGATATTATTAAAAAACTCAATGTATGCATACTATTAATTTGTACTTTTTAATTATTTATTTTCATTATTACTAATTCCAATTTACTTCTGTTACCAATTAGTAGTTTTAATATACTAATTGGTTTTTATAGAAAGGAGAAACTTTGTTAGAGAAAATATTTCTTCTTCTAAGGATAGGATATGTTTATCCTTCTAAGGAAGGATATGTTTATACTTTCAGCTTAACTATTCTTAAAAGGCTACATATTATGAAATTCTCTACAATAAAACTCATGAAAGAACAATCTTTTCATGATATTCAGAGACATCCTTTTTTACTAGGTGTTTGGTTTTTTTTTTTTAATGCAAGAATTTAATAATGAGCTTCCAAAGGCATTGATAAGAACAACAACAACAAAAACCTTCACTGTATATTTTAAATATCTTTCCATTCAAAAAAATGTAGCAAATCTGAAAATAATGTCACAGATTCTTTTTTGGAATCTTGATCATTTGAGAAAATATTTTAAGTTTTCAACTCTCTGCAAATTGCAAATACATGCTGAAAAGAGTTGTGATTAAACCAAGAAAATCTCATGAAAATCTAATCTGTTTACTGTCAGCAATTAACATCCTTAAATTATGCTTTAAGGATTCTTTACAATTGAATGATAGAATTATCAGTTGATAATTTTACTCAACATTCCTTTAGAAACTATTGTGTCCAATAGCTTCTAAATTCTGTTTAGAAACTATCAGAAACTTTTCAATTCATTATACTCTCTCTGTAACTTTCCGCTGATCTGTTTACTCTAAAAGATCTTTTCCTTAAATCATAGTGATTTGATTATTTTCTCATCTATTTAAGAAATCGGTTATTTGTTTGAAGATAAATACCAAAATAAACACACTTTATTAAAGAGTACAACAAAAAGATTTCCGGATAAGTCTTACCCTCTTTCTTAGTGGGTTCTGGCATGGCCACAATAAGATGTTATTCTTTAAAGAGTTTTCTCCCCTCCACGACTAGTTGACAGAAACCCCACAGGCAGGCGAGAGACAGTGCAGGTCAATGTGACAAGCAGTTGGGGAGAAACCCAGTGCTTTTATACTGCCTCTGAACATCAATCATGATGGCACCTCCCTTTCTTCAGCACAAAGATGCAGGAACTTGACAGCTATGGGGACCTTTCTCACATCTGTTGTCTGCACTCTGCTCTCTCGCCTACTGGAAGGAATCTCCTGCCCATCTCATGTGGCTGATGAGAACACCTCTAACTTTCTAAATTCAGCTGCAGCCTCGTGCTCTGTCTTGCTCTTCTCTCTCTGACAGATGCATGTGCTGACTCAGGAGTGCAAAAAGTTTGCTGGATGATAAAAAAAAAATCAAATCAAAAATCATTAATATGCCAATCCAACTGATACCTCAATTTTCACTAAGATTAGACAGAAAAGTCTCTGTATTCAGGTAATCATGTTAATGCTCCAATTAGCTTTACATTTTAATCAGTCCTTAATTATTTCATTTTTTTTCTTATTTCTTAGTGATATGTCAGTATTAGTTTTTCAAGCCAAATCTCTATGTTGAATAGCTTGTCTCATGTTCTTCTCTAAGAATAGCAAATATTTCTTTTAAGGGATACTCTGCATTTGCCTTTTTTTTTTTTCAAAAACATCATTTTTCAAAATTATAGGACATATAAAAGAATGAGGCGGTGATGCATGCTACAACATGGATGAAGCTCAAGAACGTTACACTAAGTGAAAGAAGTCAGTCAGACATACAAACATAGACTATAAAATAATAGATAATGGCCAGGCACTGTGGCTCGCACCTGTAATTCCAGCACTTTGGAAGGCCAAGGCGGGTGGATCACCTGTGGTCAGGAGTTCAAGACCAGCCTGGCCAATGTGGTGAAACCTTGTCTCTACTAAAAAAAAAAAAGTATAAAAATGAGCTGAGCTTGCTGGCAGGCGCTTGTAATCCTAGCTACTCGGGAGGCTGAGGTAGGAGAATCGCTTGAACCCGGGAGGCAGAGGTTGCAGTGAGCTAAGACTGAGCCATTGCACTCCAGTCTGGGCAACAAGAGTGAAACTCCATCTCAAAATAAATAAATGTCACACATTGTACAATTCCACTTATATGAAATGTCCAGGATAGGCAAATTCATGTGGTGAGAAAGTATATCAGTGTTTGCCAGGGGCCTGAGGGAGGTAGAATTGGGAGTGACTGCCAGTGGATATGGGGTTTCTTTTGGTCACGGTAAAAATGTTCTGGGGTGAGTTAGTGGTGATGGTTGTACAACTTTGTAAATATATTAAAAACCACTGAATTATACACTTAAAAATATATATGGAGGCTGGGTGGCTTGGGCCTGTAATCCCAGCACTTTGGGAGGCCAAGGTGGGAAGATCACTTGAAGCCAGGAGTTTCAGACCAGCCTGGGCAACAAAGCAAGACCCTGTCTCTACAAAAAGTAAAAATAAAATAAAAATATATGGGTCCTGGGCAAAGAAAGTCAAATAGACTAGTAGCTATTGTTTTGATTCCAGATGGTAAATAGAGGGCACACAAATCTAACTTAAGATGTTGAAACACTGTAGTAGATGCAGTCACTTTCTCACAAAATGTTCATGGAACTTATAGAGAAATAGGAACTACCAAGTCGTTAACCTGAAGAAGACGGCTTACTTTCTTTGTTCACATGCACTAGGACTAACCTGAGTTTATATGAAAACACAACCACCCACATGCCTTTATTGGTGTGTATTTTCGAGATAATTTTCAAAAAACTTTGATTGATTTGTATTGAAGCAGCCACACTGTCTCGTCTAATTTCCCTTGTGGCTGAGAGTGCAGCTGGTCAGACTTAGCTCTACCAAACTCTGTGCCAAGCTGACTTTTCATATAAGGGTGGAAACTCGACTTAGAACTTAATAGCATCATGGTTTAGTTATGTGGCAGGGAGGGGGAGGAAGCCAGTCAAGATGGTAATGAACACTTTTTATAAAGAAAGCCTCTCCTTAACCACATACTGAGCACATCGTTGTACTTTTAAAAAATGTTCCTTTGCTGCTAAGTCTGCTCTAGGAATATCAATTAATAGATGAAACAAATGAGAGAACCTAGAATCTGAAGTCAGTCCCTTGGGTTCTATTTCTGGATCTATCATTAACCATCTTAGTTGCTTTAAGAAAATCAGGTGGACTTTCTGGGCCTCAGTTTCTTTTTGTGTAAAATGAGGGGCTTAAAAAAATGATCTTGGAGGCTCCTGATAGGTTTAACATTGTGATTCTATTTGGGAAATTTCTAAGAGAGAGTTGTTTTTTCAGCATTCCCAGCACACTGAATACCACATATGAGATGGACATAGGGCAGAGTGTCATGTTGCATAAGAATGTTTATAGCGAAGGGCAGATTTCACACATGCCACAAAAGAGGTGCCATGCCATCACTGGCTTCTGCAGAAACCCCATTGGGTTTTTTAATACACTGATCATCTTACTGACATGAACATATGCCAGGAAATATTGCAATCCACATAGAAAGTATTTTATGACCTGGGGAAGTTTTTGGTAATAAAGGAATTAATTATGAAAAGGCAAAACATGATTATGGGAATTGGAAGTACAGACAAATTCTAGGACAAATGATTGCACAGTGTATCAGGTAGTTAAGGTAAAATTTTAAATTAGGATAATAAGTAGACATTGGTAATTTTCCTAGGGCTATATTGTTTTAGGAATACATAACCCCTATTTCAGATCTTATACATTCATCTAGAAGGTTGCAGATGCCTTAGCTGTACTCTCAGGAAAGACAGGGATGGTCAACAGGTTTTTGTTTCTTTTGCTAAATGCTTTATTGGATTTTCCTTATTTTATTATTGAGGATCAGGTTTGTTTAAATACAACACAAAACCACAAAATACTAGCAGTTGAATCAAGATAGAACTATTTCTGCCTCACATAAAGCAAGTCCAAAAGCAAAGGGCTTAGAGTCATACAGTGGCTTCACAGTATCTCCAGGAAACCAGACTACTTCTTCCTGCTCTACCATCCTCCTGGTAAACCTCAAAGTCTAAAATAGCTGCAGATACTCTAGCCATTACATTCCTATTCCAGGCAGCCGAAAAGAAGAAAAAAAAATCCCTCACTTTCTTCATTTTAAAGAGACTTGTTTGAAGTACCACACACATCTACTACATCCCATAGGCCAGAACTTGATTACAAAGATTCATTCAAGATACACCAACAACCTAACTTATAAGAGCTAAAATCGTAAAAATTTTAGAAGGAAACATAGGGGCAAATGTTCAGGATCTTGCATTTGGCAATGGATTCTTATATATGACAACAAAAGCATGAGCAACAAAAGAAAAATCAATAAATTTGGCTTTATCAGAATTTAAAATTTTATGAATCAAAGTGTTTAGTAGAATTCACCAGTGGCCATCTGGTTCTTTTTTTGGGGGGAAGTTTTGATTATTGATACCACCTCTTTACTTGTTATAGCTGTTCAGATTTTCTATTTCTTCTTGAGTCTGTTTTGATAATTTGAATATTTCTGGGAATTTTTGCATTTCTTCTAGGGTATGCTATTTTTTATTATACTTTTGTTCACAGCATTCTCTTATAATCCTATTTATTTCTATAAGATCAGTAATGTGCCCGCGTTTATTTCTGAGTTTACCTATGTGCCTCTTCTCTTATTCTTTGTTAGTTTAGCTAAAGGTAGGTCACTTTTGTTGAACTTTTCAAAGAACTAACTTTTAGTTTTATTGACTATTGTTCTTCTATTCTCTATTTCATTTATGTCTGCCCTAATCTTCTTTATTATTTCTTTATGCGAGATTTGGATTGATTTTGCTATTTTTTTTCTAGTTTCTTAAGGTGTACAGTTATTAATTTGAGATCATTCTTTTTTAATGTAGGTGTTTATTGCTATACATTTTCCCCTTCACACTGTTTTCACCAGATTCCAGTACAGTATGCTTTTTACTTTTGGTATGTTGTAATTTTGTTTTCATTCATTTCTTAGTATTTTCTGATTTTCCTGGTGATTTCTTTTTTGACCTTTTGGTTGCTTAAGAGCATGTGGCTTGATTTCCATATATTTGTGAATTTTATAGTTTTTCTTCTGTTATTGATTCCTAGCTTTATTCCATTGTAGTCAGAGAAGATATGTATGATTGAAATTTTTAGAAATGTATTGAGACTTGTTTTCTGATCTAACATATCATCTACCCTGAAGAGTGTTCAATGTGCACTGAGAAGATTGTGTATTCTGATGCTGTTGAGTAGAGAATTCTACGTATGTCTGGTAAGGCTAGTTGGTTTATCATGTTGTTGAAGTTCTCTATTTTCTTGCTGATCTTCTGTCTAGATATTTTATAGATTATTGAAAGTGGGGTGTTGAAGTCCTTAACTGTTATTGTAAAGTGGTCTATTTCTCCCTTCAATCCTGTCAGTGTTTGCTTTATGTATTTTGGGCACTGCTGTTTGGTGTGTATGTGTTTATAATTATTACACATTTTTGATTGACTCATTTTATATTGTTGTTTTCATCTCTTGAAATAAAATCTATTTTGTCTGCTATTGATACTGAACTCTGTAGCTTTCTGACAATAAGTAATATTCGACCGTGAATAAATAAACTGTTTGGAAAAAATCATTTTCTGCCTCAAGGATACATTTCTAATAAAATATTATTTTGTTCTTCTTAGTGATTTATCAGTCAGTGTCATCTTTTATGTTGCCTTAATGGATTGTGTAAAAATAATATTCATATCAATAACTTAATGTCAAATACATTTAAAAAATACTTTAAATCCTTGCAGTCACAGAACAAAGGTTTTTAAAATTTTTATTTGTTTATCTTTTGAAACAGAGAAATATAATATGAAAAGCTTTTTTAACTTTTAAGGCAAAAAATTACTGTGACATTTTTATTGCATGGGAGAGATTTAAAATACATATAGTTGTATTTTGATTTTTAATATCAACTTTTATAGAATGTTGGAAATTATAGCCTTTGCAACTATTTAAACTTGTTTTAGAAAATTTTGAATATTAATTTGGAAGTGTGTGAAAAATTAC